CAGCTAAGTGCAAACAAAGGCAAGAGAAAAACAGGCCACCCATGAGCCCCAGCGTTGCAATTCCCACCCCCCACCCCTGCTCCAGTTTTGCTTCAGTTTCAGTATAAAGGCAGAGATAAGCCATCCCATAATCAAAATAAGCAGACATCATGGGGAAGGACAATTCGGAGCTGGGAGCAGCACAGACTGTGCATGTGGAGAGGCCCTGCACTCTTTGCAATGCTTTTCTGTGTTCCGTTTCAGGTACAGTACCCAAAATATATGTGCCTATTGTGTATTGTGAATGAAGGACCTCTCTTTAAATGGCTGCTTTTCTCAATCGAACACATGGAATCGGAGGAAAGACACTTTTTCTAACTATCTTGATTTCGATTTTGCCAAGAAAAACTGTGCTTTAAAATATCACAATTGAGGTGAAGCATGGGTATTGTGTTTCCATTCAGGTGCTGTTTGACCTCATGGCTCTAACACTGGCATTGCTTAATTAAAAGTACTGTAAACATGCTAAATGTATAAAGGCTGATTGTTGAATTGAACTGAATGTTCTGCTGGCCATTATCTATGACAAGAAAATAACCCTTTGGTATGGTATGTGTTAATGAATGAATACATTTGGGAGTTCAATGTCATGCTAGCCTTTTGGTTGAAAAATAAGCATTGGTATTTCTGCTCCTACTTGAAGAGCAAAAATGGGTGTACAAACTATGCAGTTGTCAAACTAATCATACTATGTGTAAAAATGTTCTTTCCTTTTTTTCTAGACAGATCTTGATTATATAAATGGTGTTGTAGCAAACCTCGAAAAAGAGTAAGTTCAATTTATATAAGTTACCCCTGAAATATTTTGGGTTATCTGCTTTTTACTATACAACCTAGAATTCAAAAGTGAAATTTCTACATGTGCTTGTGTAATACATTACATCAAACAGTTAAATAGCTACCTTGAACACTGAAATAACTTCCCTTCTAAAACAGCAAATGGAATGACAGTATAAGATTCAGGCAGTCATGAATAGGTTACATCCACATGAAATAAACATTGCATGATATCCACATTAAAGGTTTTATGTTAGTGCTAAAGTATAAAAGAGACTGCCTAAGTACTTAAGTTAATATTGGTTAGTTTGTAAAATACGTATCTATTTCTATAGACTATTCCATTGATAATTGCAAGTGCTTTCAGGCAATATGCTGTATTAATTCTATAGATATAGAATTTCCAACCTCAAAACTGTTTTTCAAGGAAGATTGAGACCTCTTATGGGAGGGAAATATCAAAGGGCTTGGTGAACATAGAAGCCACTTCATTCAACTTTGGCCCCAGGCAGTACTGACAGTTTTATACGTAGGTTGACATCAGCAGTTGGAGTAGAATATATTAAATTGCCCAGTGCTCCCCATTTTGTTTCATGGCTGACTAGAAAGTTGAACCCAAGTCCAACATTTAACACATTAGATGTTTGAAGTATAGTGCTTACTTGAATATAAAATAACAAAGCTGACTTTTCTGACCCCAGGTTTTCTACAGAAATTCGTTCTGGTTTAGTGGAAATAATAGCTCCCCCTGCATTCTACTATCCTGACATGAAAAACCTGAAAGAGACATTTGGAGATTCAAAAGAAAGAGTCAGGTAAGGATTTTTTTCTTGCAGGTGAGAAACGACTTTGGTCATCACAATCTTAACAGAGATAGTCTAGGGTACTGTTAACTTGTATATTGGATTTGAGAATATGGGGAACACTAGGCCCAGAATCAGGCTGCTGAGTATCTACATTGCATGTTTTGTATCCAGTTTCTTTCCTTCAGATATGCAGGAACTACCATTTCCACAGTCCTCAACCATTGGCCAAGTTGGTTAGGGAATGTAAAACTGCCCATATATGGAGGGCACGTTCTTGAGGAAATAGCTTACGTTATTCTTCAGGAATATTTATCTTCAAACATGACCTCTTGTTGAGTCTTGGGGAAAAATAATTGAGAAGGTTTTTTTCCACACTTACATCTGATCTTTTATCTTTTTCATGATAATGTTGTAAGTTTTGCTGTTGTAGCCTTTTTTTGGGTGTGCAAATCTTAGCTTGGCATTGTGTTTATTTTCATTGGATCTGGAACTTTTTTGAGCTGCTACTGTGGTATTTGGTGACTAAGCAGATATAGCAGAATATATTTTGGATTAAATAATGGCTAGAAAAACATTCTATAATGGCTATTGTCTCTGCAATTCTAGCACTAGAAGCACATGTTTCTTCAGTAATGTCTGCTAGGACTTGGGGCAGATTTTAAACAGAACCATTGTGCTACTGATTAGGATATAGGGGTACACTTTTTTGATATTAGATACATACCAAACCAAACTAAATATGACATAGGAGAACCATGAACAGGATCTGCAGTACTTTTGAAGGACGTTGTCCAAAGTTGCCCTTCTATTGGCAAAGGGAACTAAAGTCCAGCAAAGCCTCCTGTGCTAGAGGAAGGAGGGTAGAAAACAACTTTTCACTGATGGCATTATGTTGGACAGTCCCCCAAACCAGCAGAGCAGATTTTCCCAAGAAAAGGCATGTAGGAAGCTATAAAAGGAAAGGAAATTCAAAAGGAACTTCTGTCCACTGATAGACTTCCTGTAATGTTCCAGGGAAGTGGTTGATGGTGAGATTCTTGGGAATCTGTGTGGGTGTGGGAGACAGAGGGATTATCTGTGTTCATTCATTGCTAAAATAAACACTAAAATCCGTGTTTATGCGTCAAGTCAGCATCAAGTCAGCCTATGTTTTGTCTGCCTGCTCACATGCAAAATCAATAAAATGAAATATTTAATTTTAGATGGCGAACAAAGCAAAATCTGGATTACTGTTTTCTTATGATGTATGCACAGAAAAAGGGTGTTTACTACATTCAGGTAAATTGCTTTTATATTCTGAATTATAAAAGCAAATATCCAAAATGTGTTTTAAAATGTATAACAATGAACATGGCATACTGAATATTTCATAACATAGTTATTTATCAAATTGCCCTTTAGGCCTAATAATGTTTATTATAATACTAGTAAGTTGTAATATTTTATTGTTTTATAAAAATATAAAAATTTTATATAAAATATAAATAAATTAGCTATTATAGTGAAATATTTCAATAAACTAATGAAAAATAATGGAAGATAAAGAAATAGGTTTATTTAAAATTTTAATTTAAAATTAAAAGTGCCTTTTTGTAATTATTTGAAATTTTAAAAGGGCCATAGGCTTCTTATGGATGAAGCCCATGTAGTGTTTTCAACTTCAGAAGCATCCATTATTGTCAAACTGTTATTGTTTTGTAAATTTCTTTTGGCCTACCAGACATGGCTGCAATAAGACCATAGTTATAGATACACACATGTTTAGATTTTCAGCCCCAAAACAGCTAACAGTAATTAAGCAAAACTAATTTAGTCCACCAAGCAGTTGTGTTGGGGTTTTTTTTTTTTGCTTGAACAGGGATTAGAGGCAAAATCTTAGACAAATTATGGAACAGCAGAGTTACTTTATACCTCTGATTTTTATATCACTGAAAATCCAAATTTACTTTCATAAAGAGTTAATGTCCTCAGACTGATTGTTATTTGAAGAAGTCAGGCAAGTACAGAGAACCAAAAGAGTCTGTAGGATGATTCTATTTATCAATCCATGACTTGGCAATAGAAGATATATCCAAAATCTGACCCACAAATCTAATCTTTTCACACCAAAAGACACCCTAGCTATAGGTTATTCTTCACTCAGTTGTCCTGCAGGAATATTAAATTGTAGGGCTTTGCCATGCTTTGGATTCAAAGGAAAAAAATGGGTTTGGGATGTATGGGGTGCTCCACTTTGCCCTAGAAAAAGACACAGGTTGGTTTAGTTAATCACAGACAAGCATCTCTCTGCATGTTCTAATGCTCCGATTTGCCTTTGAATCCAAAGTGCCACGTAACTGTATAAAGCTGGCCCTGGTATATACCCACCCCTTGTTTAGCAACTACCTCGGTTAGCGACCATTCGCAAATATGACAGTAATAAAAAGTTCATTTTCTGACCAATGCGTACATTTATGACCAAATTTTCTTCGCTTGACATCAAAACACACAGGAGTGAGACTAACCCTGGCGTAGCTGTACAAGAACGTTAAATAAGACAACACCAACCAGTGATGTTTGCAATGTTTCTCTCTCTCTCTCATTTGTTCACTTAGCAACCATTTTGCTTAACAATCTGGTCATTGGAACATAACTCGGTCACTAAATGAGGAGTGGGTGTACTTGTCTTCATGTAAAGCCCAGAATTGCATGGAGGGAAGAGAGAGACTGCTCCTTGACTGCTTTTAGTATTCCATCCTTCTTTTTGAAAGATGTGGTAGCCATCTCATAATAAAACAAGAACTTACAATGGTCCTGTCCCACAAGATAGTGTTGTACAAGTACTGGTGCCTTTGGTCTAGATGCTCCTGGGCACTTAAGGGAGAAAGCAAGATTCTCTGTATCTTGCTTTCTTCCTCTTCTTTTCCCAGAATACCTTTGAGATCACCTGGGGTCAGAAGCATCTGAGGAGAGGAGTGGAGCAAAACAGTATTATTGGGAACTAGTGCTTTCTTTTCCAGCTATATGCTCAGACAGATTTTAACAAGAAGGAAGGAAATGAAAAAAGTTTTTCTTACAATGGTGACTGGGTTCTGAGTAGGATTCTGCATGATGTTTACTGTTGGGTGGAGTTGTTTGTCCATGTTGCTGAGCATTTGTATGTGAAAATTTCTGTGGGTCATTTCCAGCTCAGTTTTCACCCACCACACTCCCAGTCAATCTCTCTATCTAGATGAGAGCAAGTACACACACCACTCAGCCCAACTAGCCAAAAATATAGCTTGACCTTTATTTATTAAACATCAGGAAATAGCAAAAACATTTAATTGGCAGAAATGGATGGAAGGCAGGCAAAAGCAGAGAGAAAGAAAGATACAAACAACAGGCAAGAATTTACATTATCTATATATCTGCCTAAATTTCAAAAGGCGCAGACCTTCCAGAGCTACTGGAAACAATACGGTGAGTAATTATCATAGACAGTCCCAAAGGAAGTGGAGATTGGTTATTCCAGCCTTAACCCTTTTATGTACATGAGGACAGCAGAGTGAAGATGGAAAATAGGATGCCAGGTGATCCATCCTTTATTCTGCACCATGAAAGAAACAGTTTGGTGGACTGGGATGATGCATCCAACAGTATGTGCAGTTTTGCAGAGGAATTGCTTGTATGTGTTTGGCACTACTGGTGTATCTTCTGTGAGCACTTGAGAATTGTTGCCTGGGGTAATTTAGGGTGTTGCCCTTACCTTTAGCAGCATGTTGTTCTGGCTTTTAGAAAATGGGAGGGTGAAGTGCATATGACTTTTTGTTTTGCTTTTGGGGTGGATTACAGATTTTATTGCAGTGTTATCAGAGTTGTCTAAGAGTCTGACGTATATATTCATCTGAGCACCACTGGGAAATATTTGGCTGTGGCATGCGTGCTCTCAAATAGATGTTTTGGTGTTTAGGGCTTAGCCTTCTATCTTGGACCCAGTTTGTTTGATAACTAACGACAAGCACTGACGTTGATTAATTTGCAGTTCCACTTGTTAAAGCCCATCTTGCGTGACTGGAAGTTCTTTGTGCAGGGCACTTTGTGCTCCTCTCCTGCAGCACCGGCCCCAATCCCTTTCCATTCCATTCCCAACTTTGTGAAACAGATTTTGAGGATGTTTTGGAGTAAGAGCAGGGGAGGTGGACTGGCAGGAGAAGATGTTTGGATACCATGAACAGATAGGCAGGCCAACCCTCCTTATAAGATACCAACACAAGACCAGTAATAACAACAGATGTATTGTTACAGTCAAGTAGCCAAGACAGATACTTGGCACATCCTGCTCTGTTTTTCTTTCTGATTTAATACATGGATTAAGAGCACAAACCTGTGCATAACTCCTTAAAAGTAAGTCTCACTTAGCTCAGTGGGACTTAATTCATTTTCTTCCTTCGGAGTCTGTATAGTGTTGCAGTCTAAATTATCAAAATAAAATTGAAATATCAAGGCTTCTTCTTTTTAAATGTAAGGCTTGCTAAGGCTTTTGTAGCAATGAGCTGGGGGACCCAGATGTGTGGCAGCAACTGCAACATGGTTGTCTTGATTAGTTTGTTGTCTGTTTTGGCTGTTTACCTCAGTTGCCAATTATGTGTGTATTACTGTTGTGTTGTTATATGGTGTTTTTAATTGCTGTTAACAGCCCTGAGTCATGATTCTGGGATGGGCGGCCATATACTGTAAATCAAAATAATAATTAATAAAGAAATAGAGAATGGGTCCCATGATATTGCCTTCATCACACCTATAGCCTATGAGTGAGATAGCCATAACTGTACTACTGTTAAAGTAGCATCTTCCCTCTTATTATTATATTGTCCAAGGGCAGCTTTGTCTCCTATTCTCTTGGAGGGAATTCAGATGATTATAGTGGTTTGAAACAGAAGCAGTAGAGATACGATAGGGATCAGCAGTAGAGTCAGCAAATTTCACATCGGGATAGGTTTCTGCTGATTCAGGGGGTGGGCAGAGAACATTTAAAGTCAGCAGTAGGGAAAGGCCCAGTGATGGCTGGGTTCTCATGTGTCTTTGAATCTGAAATGTAGTCAGCCTAGTGCTCCCACACACAACCACATTCCTCATTTCATTTCTTCTGTTTTGCTTGCTTGCTTGGCTTGACTCCCTTAGCTTGAGGATGACATCGTTGTCAAGCAGAATTATTTCAGCACAATAAAAAATTTTGCCCTTCAGTTGTCATCAGAAGATTGGATGATTCTAGAATTCTCTCAGCTGGGATTCATTGGTAAGAAAAAAACAATCCGTTTGCAATTTTAAAAAAAGGAGAAGGAAAGAAAAGCACTGTGAAATCTGGGTAGCTAGATTAACAACCCACAAAAAACTTCCAAGATTCTTTTCTAATATGAAAATATTAGTCATAACATTTCCTGTGTCATGCCTTACCAGATTATGTGTAGATAGCATATAACTTGTAACAAAACTCAAGTGTTAGAAAATAGAATAATGTTATAATTATGCCTGCAGTTCTTAAATATGGTAAGTTCTAAAATTGAAGTAGAGGACTTAGATGGACTTCAGTCATCTCAACAATTTTATATATAGATTAAGACAAATGAAAAGCAATGTTTTAAAGGCTTTCCTAATATCTAATTTCTGCCTTTATCAAGGCCAGTGATTCAATATTTTGCCCTTGAAACCATCTTCTGAAGAGAGAATCTATTTTTACTGCACGTTAATATTAGACTGATAAAAGTATATTTTAAGATACAGGGACAGAACCTAGCTTTCCTTAAACAGAGTGTTACTTTTCTAAATCTTCATTAGTGGGAGCATTATAATTTCTAGCAGTTTTGGTATACTGTGTGCAGCTATCAGCTCCCTTTAAATTGACTAATGGGGACAAATGTCTAATCTCCAGAGGGGGGAAAAGGGACAAAAGCAGTGTTGCACCAACATGATGCAAACTTTCCCTTTCGTATGAGTGTTGTGATGCCACAGGTACATACGAAAGGGGCAGAACTTTTGTCAAAGTGGTGTGATGCTGCTTTTGGCATTTTGACAAAAATAGTGACTGCTGCAGATGCTCATACTTCCACCTCTGCTGAAATGAGTGCAACAGTCCTTGTTTGAGGAGGACCGCCTTCACCCAAGAAATCCTGCACGTGCAAAAAATGCCTTAAACAGACTGGAAGAGGTATCAGAGGTGTAAGAATGTTAGTTCTGCTAGAAAAGAGTAGAGCATGAAAGGCAGTTGATTGGCACCACATTTCAAGAATTTTTATTTCTAAAGGGACAATTTAGAGCATTTATTGTTAAGAAATTGGAAGGTATAGATAATTGAAACATAACATGTATTAGTTTTTATTAAAAGTCTGAAAGCCAGTGCATCTAGGCAGCAAATTCCTTGCCCCTTGTGTCTTCAGCCTATCTTTTTGCCTAAATGAACCTATTACACTAAACCATTCTAGTGCAAATTTACTTTATCTTATTGTGCTACATTATATAAAAATAACATCTTGCACTAATTTGCTGGTGCAGAATTTGAATATCAGGGTTTTTTTTTCATACTCTTTAATGGCACATTAAAGTTCCAAAGTGCTAAATTATTGTTGATACATCTTATTATTTACAGGTAAAATGTTCCAGTCTCCAGATATTACACTCATTGTTGAGTTCATATTTATGTTTTATAAAGAGAAACCAATTGACTGGCTCTTGGATCACATTCTTTGGGTGAAAGTGTGCAATCCTGAGAAAGATGCAGTAAGTTGGCTTCAGAGTTGAATATTTCTGAAAATTCTACCTATGCAACATGATTGTAAGAAAATATAGTAAGAAACCTAGTCATAGTTTATCAGCTCTTTTCTAAATTATAGTTTTCTGTAGCTAAACAACTTTTATTGTACTATGGAATGTTTAATAAGATATGATGAATAGCCCAGATATTACCAGGAAGAAATCATTTGGAGCTGTGCAAAGCTTTTGGACAGGCATTTTGAAAAGCATGTTAATATAAGTGAAGCACCCTTTTTAGAAATGTTGAAGGAGCTGCATCTTCTAGGAGGTTTGGCAAGGCTGCTTCAAAAACCGTCTTTGGCTGTCTGCATGTGCATACAGAGACAGCAGCTCTCTCAGACTGCCAGAAAAGCGAGGCAGCTCTGTGTGCACTTACCTGTAGAGACAACCCCATAACCTTTGAAGCCTTGTAGAGTACTTAATGCAAAGAGAGATGCTTTACCTGTGCCAGCACATTTTGCAAAGCACCCCTTTAGAAAGCTTTGCACAGCCCTACTATACACACACTGTGGAGGCCAAGTAGTATAAAGACTGGATTATCTCTTAAAAATATTTTAACTTCTCCAACTGTGCCTCAGCAGATGGCAAGCAGAGAATAACCTGCAGCTGCAGTTTGAACAGCCCCGTCCCCCCGTCCTGCCTATCAGTTGCACATTGCTGAAAACAAAGCTGCCAGGATGTATGGCATATTCTAAAATATGCCATTTTCTTTGGCATGCTATAGAGATTGGCGGGGGGGGGGCAGGCAGGGAGGGAGATTCCCATGAATAATCTTTGGGATAAACATGCATTTGTGTGAAGGTATTCCACCCTGTTTTCCAAATGTAGACTCCCTGCTACCATCATGCTTCGCAGCCTGTAGACTGAAAGCTGCAACAGTTGAAGTATTTACCCGTGTTGAGGATGCCTAATTAACATAACATTTTGCTCTGTGTAACAGAAAAACCAGTCAGCAAAGAATCTGCACAGTTCTCATAATTACAAATATAACTGCTTTGCATGTTGGGCTGTGTGATTCTCTTGGAAGTGGCATAGGTTCTTCCCCACACCCCAGGCAATGCGCTCTTCTTCTGTCTGTCTTCCAGGACAGGAGGGGAATATGTCATTAGGAAAACCACTTCCTCTTGGTGTTCCTCTAGCACTATGTGTCTCTAACAAGGCTGACAGAGTGATTGACCTTGTGTGGAGCAGTGGTTAGCTGCTGCTGCTGCTGCTGCTGCTGAAGTGAGGAGCAGGAATGGAGAGGCAGTTCTTCTCCTTTTTCACTGCTGACTCTGTCTCTGCCTTCCTTGCTCCTTCCTTTGCTTGCACTTCTGTAGGAAAGTGCTGCTGATAGTCCTGACAGCCGCAGTAGCAAGGGAGTAGGGGCATGGAACAGAAGTGTTCTCAATTCCACTTCTGAAAAATCAAGCCAGAATTCCTTTTAAATGATCCAGAGAGCAACTGGAGCTCAGAAGCTGGAAGGAGAGGTGAGGCAAGAGTCCCCTTCAATGGGGAAATGGTTACTTACGAATCCTGCAGAGTTTCTCCATTGCAAAAAGCAAGACAGATGCTTCTGCAGAGCGGGGTATGCCACAGATAAAGGATAAAATTGACTTCACATTGACAACAGCTCCTAGAGACTTCCATTAATAAGTTCATGCCATTTTCTTAGCCAGAGTACAGAAATGATTTTCCATTGTCTACCTTTGGGTTGCTCTTTAACCTAAAATAGATATGTTCAGCTGTCAAACACAGGCAGCGTCATGAGGTCTTGGAGGTCAGGAATGGTTTTTTGTATGGCTGCAAAGTTCATGTGTAGAAATGTTGGCTGTACCACCCTACTTGCCTAGGACCTATATCTTATAATGAATTTTATTTCATGGCCTTCAAAATGAAGTGCTTTCTCTGATGAAAGAGAAATGAGATATGGAAGCAAATCTTATGTAAGATATATATCGCAATGTGAAGAAATTATTGAAAGGAGAAGACAACAATAGATAAAATAGTTTAAATTATACTAAAATATGATATTACATAGCAAAATCAAATCTTAGGAATGTGGATTGATTTATCCAATTAGAGTTTTCAGACCAAATCATAACAATAAGAATAATGTCTAATAATATATTATTATATTAGACATGACATTTTTATTTTTGATTTTAATTAAGTGCACTGGGTACTTTAAACAGCAGGGTGATATTGCAAAGTGCAGAAGTAGAAAGCTAGGGTTAGAGAATTTGTTTTTTTTCAGAATTGGCGTTTGGAAATCCTAGCAGCTGTGAGAGATGAGTGATAAACTGTTCACTACTTCCCATGCAATTGCTTAGCAAAGTTCCTTTTGTAGTGAAAATTTTTGTAGTGGTGGGAATATGTTATTTTTATTCTGAATGAAATCATGTCTGCTAAATAAAAACTAGATAAGAATGCAATAAATGGTCCACATCACCAGTTTTTAAGCCATGTATAACGATGATGTGTTTTATGCTAAAAAAGATTTTCCCCCATTTTCTTTTAAGAAACATTGTGATCGCCAGAAATCAAATCTCAGAATACGCTTCAGGCCTTCACTTTTTCAGCATGTGGGTCTCCACTCTTCCCTAGAAGGAAAGATTCAAAAACTCACAGTGAGTACTCATAGAAAGCAACATATACATACACAAATTCTTGGAAACTTGTTCATTAATCAGTCTTAATTAAGAAATACATTTTAAATACAATTGTCTCAAAGTCTGAGTATAAGAGATACTCTGCTTGGCAAACCACTGTGTGTTAAAAATTTCCCTAGCTGAAAATCTCTATACTGTTTAATAGCAAACAGAATGTAGCTCCTTTGTGTTTTCTTAAATTAAACCCTATTACTAGATAATGCTTAAATTATTCTATTTTCATACAGTTTCTTAAAAAACCTAATGCCTTGGCCTCATACATATTTCATTGTATGATGTATTCAGTTGTTTTAATACTGAGCCCTAAAGTACTTTGAATAACTATTTGGAATAAAATGCAAATTTATTGAGAAATAAATATCTTTCCCTTTATCTGGGGAGGATCCTAGATATGGCCTACTAAGCTGGGGTAAACCACATGGTTTACATACCATGTGATTTTGTGCTTTGCCTTCGTAAATGTTCAGTTTCCAACTCTGACATAGTTTTCCTGAATGTGAAGTTGTGCAATATGTTAATGCAACATTCAGCATTCCCAGCCCACAGGATCAGTTCATCTGACAGCAGATAACTAGAACTGAGGTCTAATATCTCTGGAGGGTACCAGGTGTGGGAAGCCTTGGCCAATATCTCTGGTTACTATTTTTTCATTATTATTGAATTTATATCTCCCCTTTTTTTTTGAGTGCTAGGTGGGGTTCATAAAAGTTTCACTTCATTTTTATCTTAACAACCAGGCTGGGAGAAAGAGAGGGAGTGTGATTGCCCAATAGGTTTTGTACTCAAATAGGATAAACCTGGGTTACTTCAATAAAAGCCCACTGCCTTAACCTCTACAGTGCAATGGCTTTACAGGTAGTCCTCACTAGCAACCACAATTGGGACCAGCAACTCCATCACTAAGTGTTGTGGTCACTAAGCAGAAAAATCACACGACCATGACTGACTTACGACATCACTTCCCATTCGGTCATTAAGTGAGATATCAAATGACTGCACCTTGCAGTTTTATTTCTGCATTGTCTATTAACTCTGCTTGTCGCAAACCAGTTGGGAAGCACACTAATGGCAATCACGTGACTGCAGGACACTGTGACGGTCAAAAATGCAAGGCTTGGTCATAAAGCTGGGGTTTTTTACACCGTTGTAACTTTGAATGGTTGCTAAATGATGTAGTCAGTAAGTGAGGACTACTTGTAATATAGCAGGATTGAGAAAGACCTCTGCAGCAGCACAATAGAACAACTTCCAGTTTGAACATAGGATATGATATGATAAAACAGCTTTATATGTGAAGAATTTTAATGCGCAATTCAAATATAATTTTTAATTAGGAAAATAGATTACTGCAATTTATAAAAGTTAGCCCTCGATACAAGCTTTGGTAATTTTTTTACACTTGGAAAAAAGAAGGGAACACTACAATAAAATTAAGCAAGATAAACATTGTTTCAGATTAGAAATTATCCTATTTTTTTTGAGGAGAAGTACTTGTTTGTTAAATAAACTTTTTAGAATAGCATACTAAATTAAAGCAACATTTGATGTAACTTCTGGAAGAGATGAATAATATATACTAGTTGCCTCTGAATTTTCTTTTAACCTGAAGTAAGGCAGTAGCAGAGAACCATATTCAAGCTTCATAAATACACTGATCAATCACAGCTGTGCAAATTTTTTTTTAACAGTGCAGCTGCGCAATAGTTACAATATTCAGATTTCAAATTTCAAATTCTTTATTTCAGATCACTATTCCAGACTGAATAAAACTTATTAAATAAAACCTTCAAATTAGAGCTACAAGATAGAATATACAGAGTAAAATAAAGCGTGCAAGATAAAATATCTACAATTGTCCTTACACTACAGGTAGTCCTCAATTTATGACAGCAATTGGGACTGTAATTTCCATTGCTAAGTGATGCAGTTGTAAAGCGCGACTGCATCATTTAGTGACAGCAATCCCTGCAGTCCCAGTTGCCATTATTAACTGAATCCTATGGTCATTAGGCAAGGCAATTTCCTGCCAGCTTCTCACAACCAAAGTCAGTGGAGAAGCTGGCAGGAAGTTGCAAGTCCCAGCCTCATAGGCAGGTAAGTGGCTGCTGCCAGGTGGGGGAGTGAGCAAGGGGGTGCATAAGAGGCATGGCGTGGGTTGGGAAGGGTGCATGAGAGGCGTAGCATGGTTCAGGGAGGCTGCACAGGGGTACAAGGGAGGTGCGGCGAGGTCGGGGAGGATGAGCAGGGTTGCTTGAGTGGCTGACATGTCACTAGTGCACAGGATCTGGGAGAGGGTCCGCGGGTGGGGGAGACTTACTCCAGCGACTTGTGGCCTTCCCTGCCAGCTTCACCATTGACTTTCTGGAGAAGCTGGCAGGGAAGGTTGTAAATGGTGATCACGTGATCCCGGGGTGCTTGGCAACTGCTCATAAGTGTGAACAGGTTGCCAAACATCCAGATTGTGATCATGTGACCATAGGGGTGCTGGGATGGCCGGAACTCTGAGGACCAGTCATAACCACCATTCTTTCAGCGCTGTCATAAATTAGGACGGTTGCTGACCAAATGGTCATAGGTCAAGGACTACCTGTATTTTGCTGTCAGCAATATACGAGCGTTACAAGCTGCAAAAACAAACTTTGTAATGGTTACCTTGGGGTCCTTATCTGCTAGTATCTTCATTCCATCCCAGAAATGAAATTAGAAGAGGCTTCAGGAGCTCTTTGTGTATGTCTTGATAGAAATTACAATAGAGTATGAGTTTATGTTTCAGTTTTACCATCAGTTTTACAAGGGCAAACCCTTTCCGCATATGAAATTTTATGAAATTTTCCATCCAGCTCTGCTGATGGTATAATAAAACTCCCCTGGGCATTTGGAGCAACCTGAGCAGTGTGCATATGATGCTTCCCAGAATGGTGTATCCCAAAGCCCAAGTATCTGAAACTGGGGACCTGCTCTATTTTATGTCCCTGGATGCAGTTTTTAAAAACCCCTTGCAAAACACAGGACCTTTGTTTTTTCGTAATTGATCTGTAATGAATATTCTTTACAGAAATGGGCCAAAACTCCCATGGCCCTTCTGAGACCTATCAGCATTTGTGATAATAGGACTGCATTGTCTGCATAAAGCAGTATAGATACGGGTCTGCTGTCCAGTTTGGGGGATGAAAATCTCCCTAGTTAACGGTACTAGCCATTGTGTCGATATAATAATTAGCGATGGGGCAGAATGCACCCTTGTTTAACCCCCTTGCTGTATCAGTCTCGCTCTCAGACACGTATCTTTGTATAGTGCTTGTATTAGGGTCAGCAACTGCTCATCGATGGTAGAAGCTTCCAGTTTCTTCCAGAGAATTTCCCTGGAAATAGAATCAAAGGCCTGCTTGAAATCAACAAGCAGGGCATAAAGCACTACTTTTGGTGCTTGGGTGTACTTCTCATTCAAGTGAGAGAGAATCAGCCCTTGATCTGTAGGGAGGTGCTGCCACGTTGCCATCTTCCCTCCCCCGCACATTTTCCTATATGTTATGGGAGAATATTTAATATTTCCAGAGGAAGTATGTAGGAGAGCTTTTCACTACAATTTTATCTAAGCAAAATGTGTCATGGAAAATTGTCACAAGTGATTTTTATCAAGAAGAATTTAATAACCTTGAAAAACATAGGAAACTTATCTACTGTATTACACATGTATACTTTTCTTTTTTATGTTGTTCCACACTTAACATTATATCTTGTCTTTTTTGTAGGATAAAGACTTCTTGAAACCATTATTGCATAAAATTCATGTGAATCCACCAGCAGAGGTTTCTACAACATTAAAGGTCTATCAAGGGCATGCTCTTGAAAAAGCCTACATGGGTGAAGACTTTTTTTGGGCTGTCACACCAACTGCTGGAGATTATATCTTGTTTAAATTTGACAAGCCAGTTAATGTAGAAAGGTAACTGTTTTGTTTTCACTTTAATAGGAGACATCTCCTGAGCTGAGGGTTAATATATGCTAGTAGTAATTTAAAGAGTGATGACACTAGTTTCCTGTAGTATCCCAGAGGATGAATGAATAGATTACTACTTGGAAAATTTTCTTGAGAATTTTTTTTTGGGGGTGGGGGTGGGGAGAGAATAAAAAAGAAGAATGAAAGAAAGAAAGGGGTTGAATGAATAGGATAGGCTATATTGTGGGAAGATGAGAGGAAACAGGAATCCCTGAAACCAGGTGAGGCATCTTCCCTGAATGGAAGTCTTCTCACTGAAGATGTATTTGCTTAATTTGGAGGAAGCTTTCATCTCCCTCAACCCTTTACCTCCTATTTAGCATTTTCAGGGGCTAAATTTAACTAATCTTGTTTCATCTATTACAATCTGCTTTCATGTTTAGTATGAAATGATGGTAGCCCAATTCAAAACTGTATAATTAAAAATATAGCTTGCAGTTTGGGCTCCTTTTGATGTAACTTATATTCTTGCAATGAAGTACTCATGCTACAAAACATATTAAAATATTAAACTGGATATAAAATTAAATGATTTATGCATTAGTGATGCTGTGACTTTTAAATGAATTCTACATTGTGATTTAGTATTTATACATATCTATGTAAATATTTATCATTTTAAATATATATGAATCATACCTTTTAATATATAACTGGTAACTGTTTACTTCTTTGTGTGAAAGTGTATAAAAGTAATGAACTGAAGATAACAGCAAACTCTTTAAGATTCATTTTGTAGAACACCTCACTGAGTTAATATATATGCATTCGCATAACAATTTATGATTATGCTTACCTGATGTCATGTTCAATTGGATGGGGAACAAGAATCTACAATACTGAAAATGTCATATGGAACATGGCTGCAAGAAATTTTCCTGCTGTTTGGAAATGATTTGACTGACATTTTGTGTTTAGGTATTAGTATGAAAAAAATGGGATAGCATTTATTTGAACTTTGAATATAGAGGATTGGGCCATCGTAGAAATTCTATAATTTATTCTTTTACTTTTATTTATTGTATAAAATTATATAGACCTTCAAAATGGGTTTCCAAAATATAATGCAGTTTTTTAGAAAGATAATTCTTTAGTCCACACTAAACACTTGCTGGAGGAGTAAAAGTAGATTGGCTCAGTAAAAATAATTCAGAAAAATTTCTAAAATATGGTTGGAATTATTGTGACTGAGCAGTGGTGAACCAACAGTGTCTTCTACAATATTTCCTCTTCTTTGTCCTTCATATGAGAAAGGAAGAACTTCATTTTTCTGTTTTGACTAACCAACAGTTTCTTGTTCCAGGAAAACCTAGGAGACAATAATTTATTCTTATGCTAGCTAATACAAACATGAGTTTCTTGCAGGATTAAAATATAGTTCCCTGCTAAAACTCATATTCTACATGGGGCACTCTTTGGAGGCAGCCTGAAAGTTACAACTAGTCCAGAATGGGCAACTATATGCTCATGGTCAGTCCCATCAATGTAGAGAAATACCACTACTATGGTTACTCAGTTGGCTTCTAGTAGGCTTCCAGGCCCAATTCAAGGTGCTGGTTGTCACCTATAAAGCCCTATAAAACATAGCACCTGATTATATCAGGCACTGTCCTATCAGGATAGAAATCAGTCCATCTGATAAAAACATTGTGAAAAGGCCTGCTAGGAGTCCTCACTCCATGTAAGGTTAAGAGGACATGGACAAGCAAAGAGGTTTTTTCTGTTGTGGCCCCGGTACTTTGGAACCTCTTCCTCCTGGTGGTCTGTGCAGCTCTTCCCTTTTGGCATTTCATAAAACCACCAAAGTAACTCTATTTCATTGTGCTTTTAACCAGAATTGAATGTTTATGATGGCCTTCTTGGGAGGATTTAATGAACTGTATTCTTTATGTTTTCTAAAATCTCAGTTTCTTTTCTCTGTTACGGACTTGGGTGGGTTACAAAAATTATAAAATAAATAAAAAGGTCTGAAAATGGAAGCTTTAATTTGTTGCTTTCATTTGAAAGAAATGAGAAGGGAACTGTACAAGATGAATTTCTTTATGAAAGTCACTCAAAACCAAGGGTAGACAAACTTGGGACCACATTTTGGGGAAGAGATGAGGGTTATAAAGGGTTGTGCAATGGTGTGAAGTGCGATTTTCTGTTTTTTTCTGTTTTGGGAGAAAGTTAATGAGTTATGTTATAGTTATGGTCTATTTCCATTTTAAATTCTCAAGAAAGCGTATTGATGAAATTTGGCAGTGAAATTGAAAAGGATTACTAAGCGCAGACAAAGTTTTAGAGGTTGCAGGTTGCTCTGAATTTTAAGTGAAGGATATTGCTACTAGCCTGAAAAAAATGTTGCGTGCTTTAATAAATGGCATAGAGGTGTTATGCTTATGTGAGGTCTGAAGCTCTTTTTGAAGTGTTCAAAGCCCTAATTGTTACTTTTTGCATCAAATGGTTCATTAGCATATTTGACTCTATTAGAGTGAGGAAGTTTGTGAAACAATTTTGGTGATGGTAGGATAATCAGGTCAGCTTCCATTTGTGGAATTGGGGGCATAAAAAGCAAGAATGATATACAGAGTAACTCTATGAGATGTTAATCTGAAAGCTATTCTCCACTCTGAAATGATAAATTGTACTAATATTTTCATAAGCAGAGATACCACCTAATGGTATAATGAACTGTTTCTCTTAACAGTGTGCCTCAAGTCCATTGGTATGTGAATCTTTCTAAATTTTTTCCCTATTGTAAGCATGTAACAGACCATGTGGCACTTAATTATAAAGGTGACATTGTTGCCATCAGCCCCACGCATCATCTTCTCATAAGTGCTATAGCAGCAGACTGGTTGATTGGGCTCTCCAGAGCAATCAGTTTCTTGACCTGGGGACAATTTTTTAGTTTGTGATGTACAATCATATGAAAAAGTAAGTACATGCCACTGAATTTTTTGACTTTTTCAACATATTTCAATGTAAAGATACTTAATCTTCATTTCAGCAATATTGATAAAGGGGATATAATATAACAAATATCATGTACCCTTTATATTTTGTAGTCCAGTGTGCAATTTAAATAAACATAAATGCAAATTTTGTATGTGGAAAAAGTAAGTACACCATTTATCATTACCTCAAATACCTAAAATTAGAATCAGGTGCACCAGATCAGATGCAAAAGATTAGAGCATTGTTAGAGAGGACCTGGGAGGAACCTGTCTTATTTAAATCTCAGACATTTAGTTTGATTTGCTCTTTGTGTTGAAGTATCTGGAATCACCATGCCTAGATCGAAAAAACTTTCTGAGGCCTTCAGAAAGAAGCTTATAGATGCCTATGACTCTGGGAAGGGATTTAAAAAGATCGCTAAACAATTGGACATTAATAATTCCACTGTCCAGAAGATCATCTCCAAGTGGAGAAGATTTCAAACAACTGCCAAGGTTCCCAGGCTGGGCCAATCCAGCAAGTTCAGCCTGAGAGCAGAAAGCAAGATGCTCGAACAAGTCTCTCAGATCCCAGAATTTCATCACATGATCTGCAGGTAGCCCTTGCCAGTAGTGATGTCAAAGTGCATGAGTCTACCATTAGAAGCTGCACAACTTAGATCTACATGGGAGGTGTGCCAGGAAGAAATCTTTGCTGTCCAGAAAGAACATTAGGGCAAGACTAAAGTTTGCTCATGAATACCTAGGCAAAGACCAGGACTTTTGGAACAATACGCTTTGTATAGATGAGGCAAAGATAAGAGTTATTTGGCCACAGCACCAGAAGACATGTTTGGCAAAAGCAAAGAAAGCATTTCACCAGAAGAACCTGATACCAACTGTAAAGCATGGTGGTGAAAATGTTAAGGTTTGCGGCTGCTTTGCTGCATCAGGGCCTGAGTAGCTCACCATAGAATCCATTATGAATTCTTCATTGTACCAGAGGGTGCTTTAAAATAATGTGAAACCATCTATCAGAAGATTGAAGATCAGCCGAAAGTGGGCCTTGCAACATGACAATAATCCTAAACATTCCAGTGAAATCACCAAAGAATGTCTGGGAAAAAAAAAGAACTTGGAATGGCCAAGTCAAAGCCTGGATCTAAATCCCATTGAGATGCTCTGGGATGATTTGAAACGGGCTGTGCATACAAGAAACCCCTCAAACATTGCATAGCTAAAACAATTCTGCATGGAGGAGTGGGAAAAAATGTATCCCAATCAATGTCAGAGACTGGTAGACAGTTATAGGAAATGCCTACTTGAAGTTGCTGCTGCCAAAGGGGGCAATACCAGATATTAGAGCCAAGGGTGTGTTACTTTTTCCACAGAAGGAAGTGGCATATCTGTTAATTTTTTGTTGAATAAATGATTGCAAAGTCAATTTTTCATAGTTTTTTAAAACTATGATTCAATTACATCACTTTTATCTTTAAAAATAAAATATTGATATGTCCACATATGTTAAAAAAGAAAAAAGTTTACATGGAGTGTACTTACTTTTTCATGACTGTAGGTCCTGGTGGTTGCTCAGTGCTTGGCAAGTAGCAGTAAGAGGAGCAGTGGCTTCTTCTACCGTTGCAACCAGTTGAAAAACAGTTTCTGTGGCAATGGACAACTTTCTGGGCAACACAAATGGCAGCAACACAGAATATATCCCCACTTCCAACCAACCTCTTAAGGCAGAGGTCTTATGCTGCTTCATGGGAGGATCATCACAATTGTTGCTATATTCTACCATAGTGACTTGGTTGGAATAATATAATAAAGTGGCTGCTAATACGAAGTGGCTGAGTGCAAATTGTGAGGTCTTGTTGATACTGTTGCAGTTGTTGCATTATCTTACTCTGAGAAACTGTTTCACAATTCTTGCTATCTCTTGCTTACTATTGTTACCCAATAATAGTAAACCTAGAAATTGATAAGGCTATCTTGTTTGAACTGAATGTTACAATCACATCACAATGTTTGCTCAGTCATAGTTTGGTGCTAAATTAGAACAGCATCAGTTTGACCTTCTGCAAGCTACCTTGTCTGAATTGCATTCCAATTTTCAGTCTTTTAAAATTTATAATCTTCCACTATATTAATTTTTTCATGGAGATTTTATATTCAATTTTGTTTCTTGTTGTTGTAGATAGCATACAATAAGGATAGAACATCCCGTAATCTTGAGACATTTCAGATATAGCTCTTACAGTTCAAACAATTTGAAGTGCATTAGGCTACTAAATTTTGTGTAAGGAAAAAAACAGGATCATTTTGAGCTCAAAATACTTTTGATAAGATTTTAACACCAGTGGAACACTTCCTGAAAGTAAACTTTTTCAGTAGATAGAATTGGAGATATATGGGTGATTTGTGATTGTTTTTCCAAATTTCTTTTTCTGTATGTTTTACATAATATAGATACCTGTTCCATAGTGGCAATCCAGAACATCCGGGGGATATATTGGTCAATACAACTGTGGAAGTATTACCTCTTAAGGTATGGAATTAATAAAGGCTATCTATTTCTTTTTCCTTTGTATGAGTGTTACAGTGAATACAGGTAGTCCTCGTGTAGCAACCACAATTGGGACTGGCAACTTGATCGATAAGTGACACAGTCGCTAAGTGCAAAATTGTGTGACTGCAACTGTGCTTATGATTTTACTTCAGCTTTCCTTTTCCCCCACTCCCCTGCCCTTTGAAATGTTTATGGGCGTTAAACAAGAAGGGAATTAATGTTTGAATTTACAATCATTCGAGAGGAAGGGATGACAAGAGAGTAAGCAAGCACACAATGGGGAATACACATAGAAAGGAATGCGCTTGTGCTGGCTGTTTGCCTAGCCTGCTTGCGACCTGAGCACACTAGGCAAACAGCCAGTGCTAGCACATTCCTTTCAATGTCTGTTCCCATTGTGAGTCTGTTTACTCTCTTGTCATCCCTTCCTCTCCAATCTCTCTGCTCTGTGAGGGGGAAAGAAAGTAAAAAAAACAGTTCAGGCACAATCTCTCTATGCCTGTCCCATTTTTTCCCCCTCCCCCCCACAGATCAGAGAGATTGGAAAGAAGGGATTACAAGAGAGTAAGCAGGCACACAATGGGGAATACACTGGCTGTTTGCCTGGCACACTTGTGGCTGGGAACTTACAGATAATCACTTCCTGCAATAATTGAGTCTGGAATCACCAGCTTTTCTTTTTTATCCCCCTGATATAAAACAAGCATGGACTTCGTGGAGCTTTATTGTGTAACTATAGCTGAAGACATCTCCCCCCTCCACAGAACAGGCCTTGTTTAAGTATTAATAGGACATCACCTATAAACCTGACTCTCCAAAGTTGCTAAACTAAAACTTCCTGCGTCTCTCACCACAGGCCATGCTGGAAGTTTTGTAATTCTGCAACAGCTGGAAAGTGATAGGTTTTCCATCTTTCTTTAAAATGTTGAGCAGCAGTGGAACCAAGGAGGGAAGGTGTATTGGACTACAGGCCTTACAGATGATCAAAAATTACTTACATTATATAAAACTCTTAACTTGTAAAACTTCACGTCAATTCTGTGTTGTCTTGGGGCTTATTTATCAGTAGATATATTTAGGATAGGACTACAGCAACTTTCAGTAGGAGTTGGGCTAGGTTTCAAAGAGGAATATAAGGTGATCAGTACATAAATAGTATTAGAGAAGACTCTGGGCGTAGGTGAGAGAAAGTTGAATATGTGTAATAAAAAGATGCAGCATATCATTATCTTTTAGGAATATTGTTCCTCTTCTTGGTACCAACTACCCATGGCCTGTTCTGGGAGGGTCCAGTCCAGTCTTGTTGGCTTCCAGAGTATTATGAGGTGGGGGATGATGGGAAGAACTGTGAATCTGTTATTCATTAGTTTATTATTAATTGTTAAACAGTTAGTTAAACCCTTTATCAGTTTCATATTATTTTATATCTCCTTTTTCAGAATGAAGAGCTGGTATTAAGCAAAGAAACCAAAGAGAAACGGTTAGAAGATGGGTATTTCAGAATAGGTAACCTAGTAATTAATACTACAGTTTACTTTTATAGAAATTTGAATACAAAGCTTAAGTAATTCAACTTACGGCTCACTTTGCGTTACTATTGGTCTAGCTGCATACCGAACAAGTTCAGGTGACAGAATTTCATGAACCAATCTTAGATAAGGTATCTGAACAGCTGATATTGTATTGGCATTATCACAGAATAAGAAGGTATATTGTGACATCCTGCAACTGTGAGATCTAGGGAAAAAATACAGCCACCTAAAGTATGGATTCTGAACTCTGGATCACTTCATTAAATATTTTTGTAGTACAGAATTTATTCCAAAGTGGGACTTTGAAGTGCATAACCTTGGGAAAAGATGCAGCTGCATTAAAGAATTTGAGGCAAGTGCTATGTTTGCACTCCCCGTGTTCTCTGAAGGCCTTTTTGAAATTGTACATTTTCAGCTAAATAAAGTGATCATACTATTTCAATTGATAGAATAAATAAGCAGAATAAAACCCATCAATCAATTGTGATATATTTGCAGTTGAAAATTTTGATTTTGTTCATATTGTCCATAAAAATCCATTTTTTGTAATTTGTGCAAATTGAATAGAATTACATGTAAGTGATATCTTGGATTTGCTGAGTGTATACTTATTTAGAATGACTTTTGCTTTTGAAGGCAAATTTGAAAATGGCATAGCAGAAGGAATAGTCGATCCCAGTCTAAATCCAATTACAGCTGTCCGACTGTTGGTCATACAAAAGTCATCTGTCTGGGCAATTATAAATGAGGTAAGAGTTAAACAAAAGGTGCTTAATAACTAGAGCATTTACTTTCAAACATTTCAGATCTTAAGTCTCTTATTTTCTTAAATAAAATATCATGGTATCTTACATTTTTGGGACTATTCTGAATATTTCTCCTTTATAAAAGTTAATCAGTATAGCTGCTATGCAGTGAAGAAGAATATGAATGCTGATACTGGGTGCAGAATTCAGCATAGTTTGATTTTTGCACTTTACAGCATTTGTATGTTCTTGACTTCCTGCCATAGACTATGATATTCCAGTGGTGTGAATTGAGTTAGATCCAAAGTTGTCCTTCTGTTTGTTGAAAAGCTCTTTGACCCCCCCCCCCATTTTTCCTATCTGCAATACTAGCCACGCTATTCCAGAAGGTTCTCCAGTTCCAGAGATCTGATTTCTAAGAATAGCAGAGGAAAGAAATTCACCTCTTCTATTATCAAGCTCCAGAGTGCCATTTCTATCAATATATTCTGCTCACGGACTTGCCAAGTTGTATACATCTGAAATGTCATGTTGGGAAAGACCGGCTTAGATTGACTGAGAAATTGGAGCTTATAACTTGCAATATACAGTAGTAAAGAGCTATATCATACCATATGATAGAAAAGAGGCGGTAGATTGCTTCACTTTTATCTTTCAGTAGTAGTGACCATCCAGATGTATTGAACAATTAACTCCCAGCAACCTCTGTTATCATGACTCATGGTGACAGATGCTGTGAACTTTGATCCAGCAGTTCATCCCATATCTGATTTAACAGGCATTCTTGTATCAAAACACATGCAGATGCACATTCAAAAATTGTGATTTTGTTGTGCTCCCACGCATCTGTTAAATCTTGCAGAAATATGATTATACCACACTGAAAAAAAGCTTGTGAACTATGTTTTGCTGAAGTGTTTGGCCATTTAACAGCATCTAGCAGACATTTTTCAATTCTACATTGCAGATGCATATTAAAAAACTCCCCAACTGATCAGTATAGAAGAAGGAAGAAGAAAAAGGATATATTTGGAACATTTTTGCAAAATCGACCAAACTGCAGAAGGAAGACATTGAGTATGCACCTTATTTCAACTCAATTTCTCACTGAAACACTACCTCCTGTGAAATCTACTGTAGTTCAGAAGATTGACTCAGCAAGAAGGATTTGTTACAATATAGAAACTCTACTCACCTGGCATTATTTATCTAGATCCATAATTTGAACATGACTTTGGCTGACAAGGGAGCACAGAAATCCTCCTCAGCCTGTCCAGCGGTGATGGGTTACATACATAAAAGGTGTACATATTGTTACATTCCTTGGAAATGAAAAAAAAGGTGTTAAATACATTTTATGAAGAGGGTACTTTTTGAAAGTCCATTTATTTTGTTAATGAAAACCCTCTTTTATAGATTATCAGGGATATATATTCAAAAATTTTAGGGTATTTAATTTATTAAATAATTTGAAAAGTACATATTTTTATGCCAATAATAACTTGATTAATTTTTTTAAATGAATTACCTTACTCCTTGAGTTAACTCTACATTTTCCTTGGTTAATGATCGTGTTTTGTAATGTATTGCCATGGTTAGAAGAGTTAAACTGAATTTGCCAATGAAGCACTTTTGTACCATACCAGATTCTCCTGCACAAATCCCACTGAAATAAGAAGGGTTTCCACAGAAGAACATCCTCATGAGAGGTTCGCAGAATCAAGGATATGGTGTTCAAAGATACAAACATGGCATGCAAAGACTTTGAAGAACATTCCCTATGGTTTTCGCAACCCTGGAATTAAGGAATTTTATATTTCAATAGAGTGTGTGAAGTCTGCAGCAATTTAAAGTTTGAATCATTCCCCATTAAAGGGGCACTTTGATAACAGGTTGTTCTTTTTTAATCTTTGTAAAGTCTTCTTCAATGCAATCAACCAAGTTGCTCCTTTGGATAGCAATGCATTCTGAAATCAACCTTTTTTTTGGTTTTGCATCCCCTTTTGAATGAACTCTGCTCAGTGCTTTTGAATGATTTAATTTAGCATTATGTTAAGGATAATGGAAATAGATACACAATAACCTCAGCTGAGCTTTTTAAATTGTAACTTCGTCCTTAAATGTTGAAGTGGTTTCTGTTTTCTGAAGATCCAGCTTCTGCTTAAAAGCATTGCACTCCAGCTGACTGGAGCAAGGCTTCTGTGATCTAAATGCTGCTCGTTTTTTTGTACTTCAAGGAAAAGAGAGATGTTTGCTTGGTCACCAGCCTTGAAGAGAGGCAATTCAAGCACTCTGTGCTCTTTGGCACGGAAAACATGCAATAGTAAAGGAATAATAGTAACAAAACTATTTTTTCTTATGTAACTCCAGCCAAGGTATGAAAAGCAAGGCTTTTTTTTTTTTGAGTTCTGTGACTCACACAGGTAAACTGAATCTTCTTCAGCAGTGGTAGCTTGTGTCATGAGTTAATCCTTAGATACTTCTGTGTCTTGGATGTAAGTTTTTGCCAAAAATCACTGTCTCTCTTGCCTCCTCTCAAAGATAGAAATGATTTGTAACGTGTTGATGGGATTGGATATCTGTTTTCTGTTTGAGTCCATGGGGAGCCTGACAGCTTCTAAAGAAAAAGGATCAGAATATGATAAAATACTTGAATTGTTTCAAATTGTTTAAGACTTGAGATTGCTCTGATTTTAATTAGATGGGATCCTATATTTATGAGGTAGTTTTGCTGAACTTCTTTGTTGGTTGGGAACATATACATTCAGAAGTACTTATATGATATACTGGCTGAGTTCTGAATTTGAATATTACCACTTCCACAAAATTAGTGGGTGGCCTGTCCTGATTCCAAAATGGAAGGAGTAATAATGATGGCCAATTTTACAGACATATAATAAGGTAATGCAGACCTCTGATACCCAAATTGTTTTATAAATCTTAGGTGTTAAAATTATAGTTAGAAAACCTGTAAGCTGCCTGTGATACCAAACACTAATTGAAATGAATGTGTATTTAATATTGACATGCCAGGATGGAGTGGGTGGGTGGGTGTAGGATATTTATGATCAACTTGATGATGATGATAATCAAGAATAACAGTTTCCTACACAAAGTTAAGGTTGGGTAGGAAAAACACAGATAACTGATGAGAAAGCTGGTCAAACTATGTACATTTGCTTTATATGAAAAGTGATTAAGTACTAAAGAATAATATGTATGAACATATGCATTTCCTTATTTTTATTTTGCTATGAACAAGTTGTAAAGCTATATAGTCACCTGTCCTAGCTCTCAAGCTAACATAGCAGATCAGTGATTTATGAGACTCTGCCTCATAAATGTGAGATTTCCTGTCTCCAGCAGCTTATTCCAGTGTAGTTTGTGCAGGTTTATCAACATTTTGTATTTTAATTTAAAGGTTAGTCTGAATCTTTGATCTAAATGTAATTTGCTGTTCTCTTCCAGAGACCGGTAGATCACTTCCTTCTATTGAATGTATGCTCTTTGTTGAAATGTCCCCTCTCCAAAATCAGTAGCTAATTGATTTAACAGTTATCCAGAAATCAAAAGTGATCTCCTCCAGTGCAACTTTAGGCATGCTTAGTCAGATGGAATATCTACTGTGTTCAGTAGGGTGTATTCTAGTATGCAGGATTGCAGTTCTGATGTGTTAATCACTAGCTTTAGTTCTTGAAACCTCTACAGATAGACAGATCTGTACAGATGTCTTAGGTATAAACCATTCCATGTAATAAAGAACTACACAGATAAGGAGGTGCGCTAGCAAAGTTTTCTTGTATTGCCAATTGGAAATGAGAAAAATGTATCTCAAAGTAGTAAATAGCAATTCTTTATATTGCCAGTTTTAAAGATCAGACATGTTTAGGGTAGGCTTAAATCGGGTAATAATACCCATCCCCTAAAGCGATTGGCCATTCGTATAAGGACATCTGAATGGACCAATAAACTTCTACATTGGTTAATGTCCAATGAAGAAAAGAGCTTGTGTACAGTTATCTACTGCTTCAGCTATAGTAATAGAATTGTCTTAATCTGATGCTAAGTTAGAGATTATTAAAAATGATTTCAAATGCTTTCTTTTATTCTTTAGTGGAAGATTTAGATTATTCTTTTGTAAGGATAACAGTGAGAGAGCCAGTTTGATGTCATGGTTAAGGCATCAGGCTAGAAACTGGGAGACTGTGAGTTCTAGTCCTGCCTTAGGTACAAAGCCAGCTGGTGACCATGGGCCAGTCCATCTCTCTCGGCCCTAGGAAGAAGGCAGTGGCAAACCACTTTTGAAATCTTGCCAAGAAAACTGCAGGGATTTGTCCAGGCAGTCACCAGGAGTCAATACTGATTTGAAGGTCAGATTAAAAAAAAAAGTATAACGGTATGCATTGAGTTGGTACTTAGAATAATTTGGCTGAATGGAATATGCAAAGAGCTTATTGCTTTTCAATAAACACATACAAGAATATTTCATGAGAACTTGAATGCAACTATGAAGAATGTATTATGTCATTAGGCTGAAAGCAAGTAGGTTCAATAGAAAACTCTCACTTGGTGACTTAGTAAAAGAAAGTTATATCCTGATGTTTGGATTATATAACTAACTTGTGGAATTTCCTCGTGCCTAGGAACACATCCTATAACATCTGCTCAACCAGACAATTTACAATTAAAATTTTAATTTCTACAATGGGAATCTAATACATGGCACTAGATTTATTTTTAATTCCAAAAGTGGCTCATAAGTTTTCCTATAAAATAAAAGTGACATGTGATAACAGGCCAGAATTTTGTTTAGAAGAGTGCCTGATTTGGGGGGGGGGGTGGCATTTTGGGGGGTAACCAAAATAACCTAGGCTTTGCCATAGGTTTTATCCTCCTATTAGCCATATTGGAATAGG